ACAGCAGTTCATTAACAATGATCATTTATCAAATATTGATGTCTCAACCATCAGCCTTTTGTACAACTGGATCGGCGGCCCCATGTTTGTTTGATTGAACAAGGAGCAGATAATGTAGGAGGAAGGGGAAGCAGTTCTGAAAATGGACAGAAAAGCTTGGGAATAGCTGCAAGAGAGAGGCTGTCCACAAATTCACCACCTCTCACTTTGAAAGGACACCTGAAACCATCAAGAGAGGTAGAGTAGAGACACAGACCGCCACAGACCCATTGGCGATGAAGCTCATGGAGGCTTCAGAAAGGGAGGGTCATCCAGGCCAGTTACCTGGTGACCCACCAAAAGTTTAATTAGAGATATATTTCACTATTTATTTATGCATTTGTTTATTCATGAAGTTTATATGGCCATCTAACACAAACAACTGCAACTCTGGGTAATGTACAATCAAGAAACAAGAAAACAATACAGTTATGAACACCAAAAATTAATTAATAGGCAACTGAAACCCGAATTTCTACAATACCCCTCCAAAGCAGGACCTCAATCAACTTGGCCCAAATGCCCTACAAAAGAACCAGGTTTTCTAAAGGCTAGCATGATCTTGGCCAACCATATATTGGGGGGATGGACAGGGAGGGAGATTGTCAGACAGTAGCACTGCAGCGGGAATGGCAGAAGACACTGTTCTGGGGGGACCCAAAGCATGCCCATCCTACTAAAGCATGTGGGATGGGCAGACACCACTGAGGACAGACAGTCTCACAACTACCCTAGTCCTGTGCTATGTAGGGCCTGATAAGTGATAACCAACACCTTGAACTGAACTCAGAAGCCTCTTTATTTTGAGTCATAGCACAGATCATACAGAACAATTAACTATAAATAAAATGAAGTATAAGAAAAAATAGAGAAATTAAATATAGGTGCACGTATATAGATGCATATGTTTAAATATGTATGGGGGCAGTCAATCAGAAGGCATTAACCGTTGATTGGTGCCAAAAACCAGTTTTGGCAGACGCATCATCTCGCAATTGCAACCGCACAGAATTTTGCAATTCTCAATTCTGTTGAGAAGATACTGGACTGATCTTTCAATAGAAAAGGTGCAATCTCAGAAAAGACACCGATCTTGCTAATGAACAGAGAGATGATCTAATGAACAGAGAGATGATCTAAGATGATCTAATTCCCCATGCTGGTTGGGGAATTCTGGGAGTTGAAGTCCACTCATCTTAAAGTTCCCAAGGTTGAGAAACACTGATCTAAGGGCTGGGATGGGACAGCTCAAGATAATATATAGTCTTGTCTTAACCTGCCCACTCAAATGCAAAGGCGTTCTTGAAAAAGGATGCTGTTAAATCTCCCTTCTTTGACAGTAGGGCATCCAATCTTTTCTGAATGAACATTACTCTGTCTGGGGCAGAGAGAGTGCTACAGAAATATTTAGGAATAGTATCTTGAGAGGCAGCTAATTAATCTAGAGCAAATCAGAAAGAGCATTGAAGTGTTTAGACACTGATTTTATATTCTTAGGAAGAAATGGATGGAGCTTGCAGATCAGAAACCTACCCTTGGAAATTCTTAATGGATTCAGCCAGCAGATCACACAAATCCAAAACAACCTGGTCATTCTGGAGGGTGCAAGAGAGGAGGATTTGAAAATCAGAGGGAAAGAATATAGGTATCTTGGGACTGGATTGATTTATTTATTAAACTTGTACCCTGCCCGACTCCCGACAACTCTGGGCGGCTCACCACAAACAAAGAAATTACAATAAAATCAATAACAGATGGCAAGCACAGCAGACCAGATGGAATGAAGCGACAGGTCTCGCTCTGTCGCCAAAGACCTGGGCGAAGAATCAGATCTTCACGGGTCTTCTGAACAGCAGCAGAGTGGGGGCCCTACAAATCTCAAAGGGAACCTCATTCCAGAGGGCGGGTGCTGCGACAGATAAAGCGCACTTCTAAGGTCCCAACGGTTGGTTTTGTTTAACTGAAAGAGCCCAGAGTGTGCCAACCCTGCAAGTTCAAATCAGCCTGGATGGAAGTGTCATTCTACTGCTGCTGCTTTCAATCCTATTTCAGATATCAGGGGGATGGTTGATCTGTTGCTCCCCATGAAGGAATGCGTTTGCGGTTGAAGGAGTACTCCTGATCTGTCCTGTGATTAAAGGCCCAGATTATCTCTGAAGCACAAAGCACCTTTTATCTTCTTTCGGTCAGGCCAGATTCTGTCACCTGAATCAAAGTAACCTGGCTTCAGGTGATCCAGTCATAGCTAGCCTGGACTACGGCAATGCCTTGGAGCTACTTTTGAACAGGCGGGGTCTGCTCGCTTCCTGATAAGCTGTGAAGTGGTAATCTGGGAAAAAAATTATTTGTTTGCTTGAATATTTCATTACCTGCCCTAACTCCCCGTCTGTTTCCTGGCCATATTCAGGGTGTTATTTTAAAAGCACTTTAGAAATGAGGGTAATTTAAGGATTCACTGTGTATGTCTCAGGGAACTAGAATCAAATAGGTGGAGAGGCCACATGAAGTTTTCTAGTGCTAACAGCTTAACTCAGAATGCCCTCTACACAGAGACTCTAATTCTGAAGATGTTTGTTTTCTCAGTCCTTTGCATGACTTCTAAATGTCAGCTGAATCTTTTACCTGTTCCACAAGAACTGAGGCTGCTATTAGATTTTTATTTGTTCTTATATTGCATGTTTATAGATGTTTGGGATTTGGGGCTGTAGATTTTTGTATTTGATTGCAGCTGCTTTAAGGGTGAGATATAAAAAGGTCTTCAAAACAAGCCAATATTGCCTAAGGGGAGTGAAATCTGCATATGGCAGTAAATTTTATCAGTTCTCTACATTAATAAGCACTGTCATTATCAGAACCAGGAATATACCCCAATTATGTACCGGTGCTTACCTTGGCTTGCACTGCATAGGATGCTAGGAGGACAGATGCCTCTGGAGGACAGTAGATTTTCTCATCCAAGATCTGTTTCTTCACCTGAATGAGACAACAATGAAATGCAAGATGGCTAAGAATTGTGACTTGGCAGGTGGCCTCAGGCCGCTCCACAGCAGCTCCCAACCGGCCAGTTAATTTTCAATTATAATTCCTAAACTGTCAACCTGAATATACATGTATTAGTGAGTAAGCCCCACTAAGGGAGTCATGTTGGAGTAGAAATACCTCCCAAATTTCAATTTTTAGAAATGTAAGCCGCAGGACCAAGATTCAACAGGCATTCAAAAAGATAAGTTCCAAAGAGTTAAAACTACATAAAATATGAGTAGATGTGGCATGCATAATCAAAACCCAAATCTTCATCTAAGCACCATTTTAAAAGCAAGATTTTAAGAAATGCTAAGACAATCAAGTTCTATTTGGTACTCCCCGTCCACATTGATTTTACCTTTATTTCAGTATTCTTTTAACCAACTCTGCTCAGACAGGACTTAACATAATCATTGATCTCATTTTATTCCTTCCCCCACAAATAAACAGACTTCTACTCCTGCAACAGTTTGAAGCAGATTCTGCTCTACATTCTAATACACCTGTAAATCATAGACTTAATATATTCTTAAGAGCTCTTTAGAAATGCATAGTGTACCTCTAGAAAAGAAATAAGCAACTTTACTTTGGCTGGGTCTATTCTTTTTCAAAACTATTTCAACTATTTTTTTTTAATACCAGAGAAGGTTTGCAGCAGCCTGGCATAGTGACTTAAGGAACTGGGGCCAGAATTTCAGGCCCATTTTTTCAGTGATTTTGTTCTGAGCTCCAGTTAAGCTTGGATGGTATTTATTTTTTAGACCTCAAATGCCTTGGGCGGTGTCATGTGCCACATATTAGCACAAGAAGTTTGTGGGATACACAAGGGTTCCCCTCCAGAGACCCTTGCCTCAGTCGATTTTTCCAGGTGTTGGATCACACACTGCGTACAAATGTGAAACTGCACATACTATCTCTGCACATGCATGAAACGTTTTGCTTATGTACACCAGCAGTGGCTGTGGGTTTTGTACCCCTGACTTAAGGTGCACATAACCTTCTGGTGTACTTAAATTTCTCAAGGAGTAGCTTATTAATGAGAGTCAAGACAATGCAATGGGTATGGTGTTGGACTAGGAGTCGGAAGATCCACCCTTGGTCACAGAAGCTCCCTGAATGGCTTTGGGTCAGTCACCCTGCAAGTCCAGCCTACCCTATAAAACTGTTGTTCTTGTGGAGAAGTAAATGCTATGCATACTGCCTTGAGCTCCTGGAGGAAAGACTGGATATAAATCAAAGAAAATAACAACAGTAATAAATAATGGGGATTATCTGTTAGAGGAAGTCGGTCAATCACTGAGAATCAAATATGATGTATAAAAAGACAATATCCATGTGTCTCACACACTGGTAGCTTTTATCAGCTACCTATTTCAGATTTACAGCTGAAAAGGAAAAGAAGATCATTCATCCAGTGTCTCCTAGTAATGTTTGACTGAACCCCAAAATACACTAGGCCAGTCTCCCTGCTACAAGGGAGTTTTCGTACATGAATCAAGGACAAGATTTTCTGAATTGTGATCATTTACAGATTTCGTAGGTTCCCTTGAAAATAAAAGGAACAACCCTAGTAAATGGGGGAAGGGGGGTTGTCCCATTCTTTTCTAGTTATTTTTTGACCCTCTTGTTGTTGCCTGAAGCTCCATTAATCTAGATCAGCCTTCCCTAGCTTGGGTCCTCCAGATGTGTTGGGGCCGCAGAGAGACGTCTATAGGGCGGGGGCCAAATGCGCAAGATGACGGGTGCAGCATCACAGTCTAAGCTCTGCTCCTTTTGTACGTGGCTTGGATCGCAACCTTTGACATCCTAAGTTTTCCAAGTCTCCTGGTATATCCAGATTACTTCTATTCTCAGCCCCCCCTGAAGCGGAAACCATAATCTGAAAACCCATCTCCAGGGGTTGGACAGGTGTTAGTTTCCCTTATAAAAGGCCTTACCTGTAGAAAGAATAAGTGCTGAGTGATTTCCTGGACAAGCTCTTCTTCTGCATTCTCTGGGTAAAACTTGGCCAGGAAGTGAAACGTAACTGGCTCCTCCTTTGGGACATCATGGTCTAGGACCTGCAGAAGGAGACCTTTGCTGAATCACTCCAAATCTTGCAGAGTCTATCTCTTACCACTGAGAGACCCTGCTGCTCTCTCTAGCCAGGAAAAGACAGCAGCTGGTTTGCTTAAAACACGGTTTATGGAACAAACCACAGTTGGCAGGCTTCACATGATACACCAAACCATAAAACGTGGCTTACAAATCACAATGGCTGGGTTTCCTCATCAAAGCCAGAAACAAGTGAACATGCTAATGCACAAACAAGCAAACTATGTTATGTATTTATTTATTTATTTAATAGACTTGTCCGTGCCCATCTCCCCACAACGGGGAGATTTGATTATGATTTAACAAGTCATGTTGACCTGGTCACTGAAGTAATAGGAGATGAGGAGCAAAGGTAAAAGGGGGGTGTTAAACTTAATCCCTCACTGGCCACCATCTATCCCTGAAACTAGATCTTTTTCCTAAACTAACGGTCTAAATTCTGGTTATGAAGGCCAGCTGGAGGAACAAGGCATCTTCACTCATCTATTTTTACCACCCAATTCAAATCACCTCTGCTTTGCATCTATACAGCAAAATGCATTATATAGCCAGGAAAATCAACTTCCTATCTGTTACCTACCCAGGAGTGGCAGATCACCAGAGTGAAGCCAAGGATTTGGAACTCAAGTTCTATATCACTCTGTGATTCAATACTCATCATGAAAGAGTCAATAAAAACTCAGCAATCAACACAAGATTCTGGGGTACAAGAACAGGCCTGTTCGCTACATGCATTCTGGCATTTTCTAAATGTTTAACAGAGTCAAGGTTAGGCTTGTTCCTTTCTTGAGATCAACATACCTATCAACAGAAAGTGATTTTAAAGCCAAAAATTGAGGGTCAAATAGTATGTTTTGCCTCTAGCCAAATGATTTTTCCTTAGTTGCAGCAATAGATATTCTTCCCCAACTGTTTCCCCTGCAAAACTCAATAGGATCCAAAAGGCTTGGAAACTATGTTTCAAAATAAAGGTAGTCCTCACTTACCGACAGCAATTGGGACCAGCAACTCCTTTGCTAAGTGATGCGGTTGTAAAGTGAAACACCACATGACCGTGCCCAACTTACATCAGTTCTGGCTGTGGTCGTTAAGCAAATCATCCACAGTCATTAAGTGCAACATCATGTGACTCTGACTTGCGACTGCCTGCTGGCTTCCCCACTGACTTTGCTTGTCAGAAGCCAGTTGTGAATGTCACAAATGGCAATCACGTGAACGCAGGTTGCTGCAACCATCATAAATGTGTGCCAGTTGCCAAGCGTCCAAATCATGATCACATGACCACGGGGACTCTGAGATGGCCGTAAGTTCAAGGACCGGTCATAAATCTCCTTTTCAGCATCGTAGTAACTTTGAAAGGTTGCTGAACGAGCAGTCAGTAAGCGAAGACTACCTGTAAATTCCTGACAGTCCACCTCAATCAAAAGCGTTCCTGGTGATCATCAGAATATTTTCTTTCCTCTTATGTTAATTTGAGTAAAAGCTCTTTATTTTAGATGCTCCAAAGACCCAGTATTGTCACTAGTTAGGAAACAGCAGCTGGATGAGAGCACACAAGATGCTCACAGTGACTTTGGAGCACACTGTCATCTTCAACAGATGCTTCACCAGGCACTGAAGAGTCTCATTAGTCAGTGCAGACACATCCAATTACAGGAATTGCACATTGAGGGCATAACCTAATATTAATGCGTCTGGGACCAAAGGTCACTCAACACTAGCTGTATTCATTCACCATCCATGTAGCTCCCAAAACTGCTTTATCCAACTCTTGGAAGCCTCTTTGATTATGGTAAGTAAAAACTGATAGCACAGTTCTCTGCCATTTTGAGATGAGAAACATGCTACCTGCTTGTAAGCTGTAAATTAAAAAAGAACTTCCTCAGATCCTCCAAAAACTCAGCTCTGCCAACACATGGAAGGTAGATCATCCCTTTGTGGATCTCAGACTACACTAAAATGCTAAGTGTGTCTCCTAAGCGTGGAAAGATACCCTTCTTCGCCTTAAGCCATAATGTGGCTTACACCTTTATGTGGGAATCTAGCTGTCATGGTTTGCTGAATCCACCAAAGTTAATCATGGTTTAATGCTATGTGTAAACCCAGTCAGTCAGTCATACAACACTGCTTAAGAAGATCATACTAATCCAATATTAATTTTGTAGACTTTTTATAACCCAGCTGTATTAACTTGGAAATGGGAAACTCTACTACAAAGAACACTTTCTCTATTGCATGTATTAATATAGCCTTTCCCCTAAACAAAACACTGTTGGGAATGATGGGAATTGTAATTCAGCACATCTGCAAGGCACTAAGCAAAGAATAGTTGCTTATAACAAATACTTTTCTTGCATTAGAGTACACTAACTAGCATTTATTTCGAAACTTACAAAAACATTTTGGGTTTCAGGTGAGAGAGAAAAAAATGCTGTTTTGTCTTCCATTATTTTAGGAGTAAAGGGCCATGTCACATTATCTACTAATTTTTATTCAGGCATAACTACCCAAAACCTTTGGCACTTTTGTCTCTCATTCAGAGATAAAGATAAAAATTAGCTTTTTAAGATACTGAGTTCAAATCTAGAGTTGCAGAGAATAACTCAAAAAAGGATATTAGCTTTGGTTTAGGCTATCTGACCTTTAATGGCAGTTCACAGTTCTTGCAAACACCAAGATTCAAGACAAATTAATGTATAATCTGGATAGTCAAATCGGTGAGAAGTAAACAAAATCAAACCACCACCAATAAAGATGTGGGTACACAATGGAAGAAGTGAATCTAAGCCATGGAGATATGGGACTTTTTAACACACCAAACAAACACTATAAGATCAGATGGTGGAGAAGCCCTAGTGAAAAGAGTATCATTCATTCCAACTGTACTTGAATTAAAACTGGAATGGCATTAGCCTCATGTCAAAAACAAGGAATACAGACCTTGGGCAAAAATGATCTATTTCTTCCCTATTCTCCTGCAGTGAGAGGAAGTCAGAGGCAAGAAATGAGAGAGGAAGAAAAAGAGAAACCATGATGGCCCCACCACTTCAAGCTCTGCCCATTGCTTTCCTCACACCCACAACAATACATACTGCTGTCCTCAACAGAGTACTTCTAAATACAGCTCCTTGCTCATCCCATCTTAAATGATGGAGCAGCACACAAACATCATGTTTCTCAAAGAGATATCAATGCAGATCTCCTGCAATGCTTCCTTAGTGGAATCTGTGGATCAGGCAATTGTCTCTCATAAATTTTGCTGACTCAGATTCTGATCACCAATACATACATTATTCTGTTCAACCTAGAAGTGCTCCTGTTTCCATCTTGATTACATTCATGCCCGCTTAACACTAACCAAGATTATTAGATGCTGTGAGAACATCTGCTTGAAAGTCATCAGTAACACGGCACCAGGTCTGTGGAGTCGGAGTCACAGAGTCAGAGTCGTAAACAATTCTTGGGTTACTGGAGTCGAAGTCAGAATCGGTAAAAATGTACCAACTTTGACTCCTAATAAATTTAAATTGAATATCATATGATATAATATGTTAAAATTTCCTATTTCATAGATAATAATTTGATTAACCTATTTTTTGGATATATTTTAATTTCAAGTTCTCTGCGAATTTCAAAATATATATTTTGATAAAAATATAACCTCATTGTTTTTATCTGTTAGCTTTTATCCTTTGTTTAAATTATAAGGTTACTGAGTGTTTGGAATTTCTTTAATAAATAAAATTTAAAAAAAAAACAGAATGTCTTAGCTGTAGCTTTTAGACCCAAGCTTTATCAGGTTAGGGTT